ATGTGGTGGTCAGCCATTACCGATGACTCTCAAGCCTCGGCCACCATCTGACTTTATCCAGCGATGATTTAGGTCAGAAAGCCATATCAGTTCAAAGCTTGTGAAGTCCCTTTTCTGTGACGCAATAAGAGGCACGTCTGCAAGAGACGTTGAGGATGTTGTTAAGTTGATAACGTTGTATGTCTCCGTGAAAGTGTTCTTCTCGACATCGGGCGAATCTGTGAGCTGGACATTAATTTGTATTATAGATAAATTAGAGACAATGAAATTGTATGATTAGACGGGTGCGATACGGAGTGCGCTGCTAGGATCAGTGAAAGAGTTCCATCGTACACCTGGAAAAGTTACTGGATGCGTCGTCATACTGCTGGTAAGTGCAACGTCCGGTCATATTTGGGTTTGGTTTTTTATGTGGGTGTAATGTGTTATGAAATGCATGGTCATATTTGTTTTTTTGTTTTTCTGATGTAGTATTTCCTATGTGAACATACGACGTTGGTGGTGGCTGAAAGGCGCGGAGTGTTTCCCAGATTTCTGAAGTGGAATGTTGGGACGTTATTGGCGAGGTTGCGGAGTGTGACGCTAGATGATGTTGACAAGTTTGAGGTAATCCGCCACTTTTGCGCCTTATGTATGGTGACAGTTTGCGTGGTTTTGTGAATCGTATATGCGTTTGTGTGTAATTATATGGTTGTGGAATGTATGAGCAGGTGCTACCGGGTAGACTTCAAGTGTCAAAGTACGAAAGGGACCAATTGCTGAGTGGGAATAACGTGGTGGACAGTAGTGATGATGACTTTGTGGATAGGTTTGACATGATTGATGTCGAGCACAGAGATGATAATACAATAGACGCAAAGAAATCCGTTATGAATATGATTGCTGTGGGAGACCAAACTGGAATGCAGGTAAAGGTAAAGTTGGCAGATGAACTGCCAATGGGTAGATTGAAAAGGGTAGCTGAAACGGGAGAGGGTAGAGTCAGTTTTATGACAAATACTGATGGGCCATCGGTTCCAGACACCCATGAGGATGCACACCGAACAATTTTTGTTCTACAGTCGGAGAACAAAAGTAAGGATTTTGTTATTGCGAAGTTGGAGGAGCAGGTTTCAAAACTAATGAGTGCACTTGAGCAGCAAGCCTCGAATATGTTTGTTGGATTCAACAGTTGTCTGAAGGTGAAAGATTATGAAATAACATGCATGGCAGGTGTTATTAGTGATCTGAGAAGCACCATAACTGGCCTTGAAGATAAACTCGCGTCCTCAGATGCAAATCTCACTGGAGAATGTGCACGTAGGCGTGACACTGAGGACGAGACAGACTCATTTGCCTTTGTGGATGAGAAAAAAGCGGAGGAGTTGATCCATGATGTTACACAGATGGCTGTGGGTCGGGACAGTGTTGGGACTAGAAGTCAGACGGACATAGCATCGGCAAGTGAGAAAGTGTTGTAGGCAGAAACGTTTGCTCCTGATGGTGGGAACCAAAAGGATTTGCAAATGGTAGGGGGAAAAGCTGCTGAGGCCCCGGTAGGATTTGCTTTACAAAACTCATTTGTCAAGAAAATTAAAGAGAATGTGAGGCGAGAAAGGAAGTTGCCGGAATTTGAGTATCCTATGCTTCGGGGGCGCCTTCGTCGGGTGGATGGAAGTGAGAGGTAGCGTGCAGTTAGCGAGGGTGGTATTAACTTTAATATTGATTTATGTGAGGAAGTTGAAGTTGTTAACGAGGTTGATGAGCATGACAAGAAGAGGTCGGGGTATGGGCTGAATAACCGGTTTGCAGTGTGGAAGTTAGTGAAAGACGATGTGAAACGTAAATTAGCACAGCGTACGAGCAGGATGGAGACGAGTAAGGCGTAATTTACTATTTTCTATGTTTTTTATTATGTTGCTCTGTGTTTATCTCTGTCTAATATGTGTGTTTTTTTTTTCACTGTTGTCATATGGACCGGTGGCAAAAAAGATGTGTTTGTTTACTTTTCCAACATTAAAAATTTAGTCTGCCATTCTGTAACTAGGGGAAATGTAAGTGTCAAACACTTACATGAATTCGATGTGCATACGTTATATATGTACACTGTGGGATCTTATTTTAAACGCTTGTTGTGTCACATCTCTTAATGTTGTAGTGTAAAGGTAGTGAATATAGTGTCATGGTAGTGAATATTTGGGCTGAATGTGTAGCTGGTTGGTAACAGGTGGTCGACGTGTGCGTTGAGCTTTTGGTGAGCAAACAGGATGTGCTTGCAGCATGAATGGTTTCCCCGGAGAAGTCCTACTTTTTCAGTGGCATATGTCTAGTATGTGTTTTTTTTCACACATGAGTTGTAATTCTGGTATTAGGGTATGTTGTTGTTGTTTGAAGTTGTGGGCATGTCATAGAACGCAGGATATGGTGGTGAACATGAATGATACGTCAAGGGATCGATACTTGGAGGCCAACTTCCGCGCATGCGTTGGTTATAGATACTTACATTTCCCTATATACCACGAAGGACACTGGAAGTTAGTGGTGTACGATACGGAAGATGGGTCGTGGAAACATTACAACCCGCTTATGTCACGCACTGGTTCGGAAGACATACATTACAATGTAGCATCAATTTTGGTATGTTTATCCCAAAACTGTTACAGTAATAGCCTAATTTTGTAAATTTACTGTAAAGTCGTGTCTGCATATGTCAACGGGGAGGCGTTGTGTGTGACTTGATTCTTGGTTAATGTAATAGAAACGAAATGTGATGGATTACATTCGGCGAACATGCCTGGCAGCCGGGGACAATGCGATTGTTTGTACGGAAGACGGAAACATGGTGCTAGAAGCAGTTATTGATTGTCCACAGTAGCGAGCAGATGCGTAAGTAATCTGAGTTTTCAAATTTTTTTCCCTATTACATTGGATGCTATAGTTGATGACTTGTTTTTTACTGTGTGTTATGTCCATCCACGGCAGACCTGACTGTGCAATCATTGTTTGTTACATAATGCGGCAATATGTACACAATGTCGGGATCCATAAGGCAATGGAAGGTACTACTTGCATCAGTGCACGTGCAACTATGGTGGAAGCTTTTGTGAATGACCCACAGAAAGGGCTGGAAGTCATGGGAGGCAAATAATGTGACTTGCGTTGAACTGTTATGTTTTTTTTTGTGTTGGAACTTTTTTGTTTTGTATGGACATGGTAATTGTCCTTCAATTTAGTAAGACAAGCTGTGATGATACATTTGCTTCATATTAAAATTGAACTAGTGATTTTTTTGGGAGTTACCGGTCCGATGTGTTCGGGTTATATGGTCAATTTGCTGTCGACAAAATGCAATTTTTTTGTGATAATGTTTATGCTTATTTGGTTATGTTTCTCTTACAATAAGCTTGCACGTGCAGTTTTATTGATTGTTACTCGATACTGGACATAAATGTGGCAAACCCACAAATGCATGTGACTTGTTAGCCATGTGTAAGGATACTTTTGTATTAAATCCCCGCAGTGGGTATTGGGTATTGGTTTCTTTTTGGTTGGTGGTTGTACTGTAGGTGTGTGGGCTGTGGGATGTGGTAACATGGAGGGCAATGTGTGTATGGATTGTCGCCCTGGGCTGGTGGAATTTGTTGAGAGGAGAAAGTTTGTGTATTTTGGGAGCAGGGATTTGAAGTGGCATGTGTGTTGGTGGTGTGGGAGTGTGGTGATCTTGGTGTTATGTTAATGCGCGTGGACGTTTCTTTGTTCATATTTATTTGTTATTGTGTGTTTGTTGTCGTTTTGATGTATGCGTGAACAACGAAATGCGGTAGTTAGATAGGTGTGCGTGTACACACACGCCATGGTGTCGTGTGGGGGTGTTGCAGTTTGTACCATATGCGTGTTGACTTTGTTGTCGCTATGTAAGTTCATTCTGTGGGGTGTTGCGAAGTGAGGTGCATTACGTTATTAAAATTTGGGTTGTAGTAGTATTGTGGGGTGTCCTGGCATGGCTGTGATTGAATGTTTGTTGGTGGCATTCGTGAATGAAGGTGGCAATGCATGTGTTGGGGCGTGTGATATGTGTTTATGTAATTGTGTTTGTCAATGAAGTTAGATGTGCCTTCAGAAGTTAGATGTGCCCGCAGTGGGTGTCATGCCTCCATGCTGCATGGTCCGTGTGCGTTTGAATAACATTCCCAGTGTGCCCGAACTTGTAAACATGGTTAGTGACGAAGAAGGTAAATATGAAAATCGAACATCGCGTTCATGCATGTCAACGTGTGGGATTATTCCAATTCTGGTGATATAGCAGAAGTCAAATTTGCAATAAACACATAATGTATTACAAATTCATGAAGAATGTATTCCAACAGCAAACATAATTTTTTTTTTCACGTTAATTTGAAAACAAACTAACTAATATGATTGGTAACAACAAAAATTAAATGAAACAATAATATCCTTGCAGAGTAGGAAATCCAACAAAAAAACCATAACACTAACCATGAATCAAAGTAACCAAATTTAATTTTCAAACAAAATTAAAAACGAACTAACACATATTATTGATAACGACAGAAAATTAAAAAGAAAAAATAACACTTCCCGAATTAGCCAAATTTGTGTTGCGCATAAAAATGAAACATGACAAGCACATAGGTTTTGCAATGTGGGTAATTAAAAGTGAATGTTAAAAACTAGTGGAAAGGGTAGGTAAACCAACATCAAAACACCACACGTGAAATCGGCCAACCACATTGCAATTTTCACATAAATTTTAAAACAAACTAACACCAATGTTTGTTAAGGACGGAAAGTAAAACAAAACGCAACCGCATTATGGTATGAGTAAGTATTAAAAAATTGAAACATAACACCAACCAGTGTGTAACACTCCATAACCACAAAGTATGAACCCGCCATAACACAGCTTTTAGAAATAGCCTATAACGGCATTACCATGTCATGCAAAACAAACACAGCTGTGTATAATCAAACACAGCTTTTAGGAACCCACCATAACCATGTCATGCAAAACAAGTATGAAGAACATTACCTTGGTTGCCATCTTTTCTGGTAGCCGCAAGCAGCTTGCCTTTAAATATACCTTTTAGAAAAGTAACATCGAGAAACAATAACGGACGACAGTGGTTAAACCCATCCATGCATGCTTTGAATGATATGAACAGCCTATTAAAACGACGTGTGTTGTGTTCATCGAAGTCAAGATTAATATAACTTTCGAGGTTATATTCCATAACGGCATCGCTGTACCAACGCAACTGGTCAAATGACACGGAATGATCACCATAAAGTTCTCCTTTGGCCTTTTCAACAACCAACCAAGCTACATGGTAACTAATTTGCAACCCGTATGCTTTTTTGAAATTATATTTGACATCGGTAGAGCGAGTCAATGGTTTGTCATGCACATGTTCCGCAATAACATCTGCAACAAGCTCGGATCCCATCCTCGGGTTTCTGTCAGTGTGCACAGCAACCCCACACGTGTGGTTGCAACACCACTTCTTCAGATAAAAAAATCCATTCGCATTCAACACCCTTGCATGGATGGACCACAAACACCCCCTTGAGTCGCTAAACATGCATTCCGCCGTAATACAAATTGAGTCATTCTTTCGGAACCTAAATTGAAACCCACATTCGATGGCGTATTTGCTGAGTACCTTGCGAAATTCAGCTGGCCCACCCTCGAAACATTGCCCGATATGAGTTATGCCACCCGCCCAATCCGCCGACAATAATACCTTTCTAGCGTGTTGGCAAAAATTTGGTAGCAAATCAGCCTCCTCATCAATATTTGTGACCATTTCCCCACCTTCCCCACCTGTGTCATCGTGCCCATGTGTTAAACTACGTCCACGTTTGACACCCCAAGATGCACCACAAACTATTATATCGACATCAATGTGATCTAGCCGAAAAGACCTGGCAAGACATAACATGTTTTGGAAGTCTGCCTCGCTCTCCATTTTGAAATTATTGTAACCTGGGATCTTCAATGACAGGGAAACTGAAGTAGGCATCAATCCATCGAAACGTTCGCACACATGAGTGGTGAATCTGCTAACGTTAAATCAGCACACACCACAACAGCAACGTTCTTGTTATCATACGAACACAACAACATTATACAGTCACCCATTCCTACACGAAAACAAGGAAAAAAATAAATTAAACATGCAAATCATGTTCATGTAGTATGCATTGAACATATAACGTTACAAAATTTTTTGCCAGAGTGTATCCAACGAATCGATTTGCACAATTGAAAAAAATAAGAAAATACATTACCGTCGACGAACTCGGAAAATGCTGCACCACGGACTCCAGAACACAACCACGAGCGAATATAAAACTCAACCACACTTAGAACACCTTGCCTCCCCCTCAAGAAAAAATTCTGATGAACCTTACAATCCCTACAAATCTGGCACTATATGCTCTTCCATAACGTCCACACACCAACGTAATACATGGGATAAATATCAAACCCTACCAAAAACGTATTCAAATACCAAACGTAAAAGGGTACAAACGTCATGCGCAACACAATTTCAAAAAAATAGGACTCCCACGTCTATTATTCTAGAAGGAGGACTTATTGGCCCTAAAACTCTCCCAAATAGGATTTTCCAACAATTTCCCCTAATTTTTATTAGTATTTTTATTTTTCAACTTATAAAATTAACTAGTTTTCCGCTCAACACCCATCTTGTCACTGCCAACCCCAAATTTGTCCCACCCCATATGACACGAGGTGGGAGCAAATTACTACAAACTCGTCCCAAATTTGATCCGTGACAACTGTGTTTGTCTTAATTTATAAAAAGTAACACATACAGAGTGAAATATCATTTATCTACTACTATTTAAAAAGCTGAAAACGATAGATTGTTTTCTACTTTTTTTTATTCCCATAATACCCTCCACTTATAACCCCAATATGCAGCCACGTTGTCCTCCTGAACAAACCCAACAGTTACCATTGACAAAATGCACCACTTGATTCGTAGCGCTGCTTGAAAATCAAATAAAAACATCAAAAGCGATTTCAGATACAAAGCTCTACTTGCCATTGTTTTGCCAATTGAAAAGAAAAAAAAATAATTTGACACCAATGAATACGCAACTCCTGATCGCAGAAGCAAAAAAAAAAGAACAGGCCAGTGGCTTTATAGTAAAACATGAAGAAAAACCGTTCACTTGGTTTCTATTCTGAAATCAAAACGAACAAAAACAAACCAATGATTTTATAGAAAAATTATTGAAAAATAAAAAAAGGCAGGGAAGTCTCCCAAACCGTTTGCAATCAATATGATGATAGAAAAAATTGAAAGGAAAAAGAAACCACTAACAAAAGAAAAAAATGGACATTCAGTGCTCATCTAAATTCTAGAAATGTAGAAATTTGAGTGGTGTACAAAAACCACAGCTTTTACAGATGGTGTTTGATGTTTGGTAATCCATTCCAACATCAACCTAAATGTAACAAATGAAAATAAATTACCACAATATTGTCGCCACCACTGTAACGACCACCGTTGCTCCTCTATCTCCACCTCCACAATCATGTTGTCATTACTATCACCACCACCACCACCACCGTCATTACTTCATTACCACAATTATTACCATTTCTATTACTATCATAAAACCACTATCGTCACCATCACTCCTGTCACGACCCAAACCCGCCCCCATGGGTTAAGGCCATAATCGGCCAGAAATCACGAGATTACCTACGGCCTCAAACCGAATAAGACAAAAGTCATCAGAGTAAAGGGGCCAAACAGAAGCAAAATTAAAACTTTGTCCTTAGAGCTGTGGTTACATGGCACATCATAACAAACCATACATCTACATGTTAATAACTCACATCAGAAAATACAGTAACATACAGTTCTGTATAGACAGGATCATTCGAGTCTAGGTCAGCCAATCAAAACTATATACAAACGAAAACCAAAGTCCTCGCCAAACTAACAAAATAACATAAGATAGCAAAAGGGCGAAGACGTGTCTCGTACGTGAGACGTAAGGGCTGACTCTCCAAAACCTTGGTTGTTCCACACAGACTTCACTGAGGCTGGGTCTGGACCTCTCTTGGCTCACCTACAAACACATGAATGAGCGTGAGTGAAAGCCTAGTGAATAATATCAAATAGAGAAGATACAATGGAACAAAATACATCAGACGGCCTTGGGCCCAATTCATTCATGTCAAACTGGTCTTTGGCCCATTTATCTTTCGTTCGTATCAAACTGGCCTTTGGCCCAACCATTCTTTCGTTTGTGTCAGGCTGGCCTTCGGCCCATCTATTCATTCATGTCAGACTGGCCTTTGGCCCATTCATTCATTTATGTTAGATTGGCCTTTGGCCCATTCAAACTTCTATGTCAAACTAGCCTTCGGCCCATTCAAACCTTCATGTCAAACTGGCCTTCGACCCATTCAAACTGGCCTTCGGCTCATTCAAACTTTCAGCATAGCAAACATTTGTCCACAATTCAATTTAACAGGCTTATAAGAAGATAAGCAACTGGACAAATAACACATTCAGATATCTTTATTAAGATATTACTTACAGTGATCGGCGGGTTGATTTGCCCTGGAGCTTGACCCTACACATCACATAACACATATGGGTCACAAATAATTCAATCCGTTCTTAATTCACATAATCATCTTTAGGCCTTATTCTTATCTTCTTAACTCATTTACAATGCTCAATGCATGCCTAAGAGTGCTTAGAAGTGAAAGAGAACGGAAAACGAAACACAGAATGTCCTTACAAAATTTCAAGAATAGGGGTCCCCGCTCGAGCGTGGACTTCCTCGCTCGAGCGGACCCATGAGGTCTACAAAAGTACTGGTTACATCAAATTTACGCTCCAGCGTGAAGTTGGGCGCTCGAGTAGAAGGCCTTACTATATGGCTCCCCGCTTGAGTGGACATCCATGTCTGCAAAAATACTGAGAGCCCAAATTTCCCGCTCGAGCGGCGCTTCCCACGCTCGAGCGGACATCATAAATTTTGGAAAATCCAGAATTGTTCTTGAGCTCAAATTCAACATTCAAATCAACATTTCTTGCACATTATAGCTCAAACTTCACATACACATGTACTAACACGATACAAACACCAAATTACAACATTTTGAAACTCAATTTCATGAATCAATTACATGCATGCCTCAAATTGACTCAAACTCATCACCAACACACTAAATTCAAGCATTCAAAACTCACACCTACTTGATTTGCACTTGCATGTGGGAGATACCCACTATTCTCAACTTAATTGGTGAAGAGATGATCAAATACATGGACTTCAACCAAAATTCAACATGGATTACACACTTCATGCTCAAATATGGAAATTCATAGCAATTTCCTACATACATGCATCTATTGACTTCCAATTCAACAAAACCAACTCAATTTCATCATAATCAATTTAATTCATGCTCTTGATCATTATTCAACCTTGAATTCACAAAATTACAAGTTAGCATCCATGAATTTACTTACCTAGAGGTTCAATTCTTCACAATTTCTAGTTGAATCTCCAAGTTATTCAAGTTCCTTGCTCAAATCTCCAATTGCTTCCCTCCCTCTCTCTCTAGCCGACCCTCTCTCTTTTCTTAGAGTTGAAATCAGCCAAATATTGAGCAAAAAGGGGAGGATTGAACATATAATGGCCCTTATAAAGCTCCCTCTCAAATACATTATCCCTAGATTAAATAATTAGGCACTAATTCATTAATTTAATCAATTTAATCTGATTCGATCAATTTTCAATTAAATTTCACCGTCGGCTTTAAAAATTACGCTAATCACAATAGCGCAGTCAATTTTGGGTTCTGTGGCCGATAAGGCCTTCAATTTAAATTCCAAAGCAGATAATCAAACAGATATTCCTACGGTGAACATATAGAAATTCAAAACCACATATTTTCACATAAATGGTACGCAAAATCATATCAAATACATAATCACATTCATAATAAGGACCAATTAGCATAATATGGAACATGGTTATCACAACTCCACTACTACAACCACCAACTCTATCATATGACACAAACCACCACAATCGCCACACTACCACTATTGCAATCATTGCTACCACACAACCACCTTCACTTTCACCACACTCCATTATACGGCCACCACCACCATTCCACCATTACCACATCGCTACCAAATCAATGCCACAAAAATAAATAATATAAAATAATTAAAAAAGTTAATAAGTTTTAAAATCTGACTTATATATATACATTTATCAAATTGCTTGATTAAATTTAACATTTATATTTTAGTAATTACCAAATAGTTTTCAAATTAAAAAATTCAATGACCTAACAAGTCTCTCCCAGTTTGACTTACAATATGTTAGGTGTCAAATTTTCATACATCCCTTAAGATTTATTTAAATTACAAATTACTCCTATAGTTTTGAAAATTACATTATGCCCCCCTAAGATTTTTAATTTCATAACAAATAGGTCTTTTTATTAATAAATCATCAAGTTAATTAACAATTTTTAATAATGTTAAAATTTTATTTCAATTAATAATTCAGATAATTTTATTATTATATGTGAACAGTTAGAAATTTCACTTTTTCAATTAATTCTGTTAAATAAAAATTCTGACAAAGACGTATTTGTAATTTTCCAAACTATATGGGACAATTTGTATTTTAAGCAAACCTCAGAGGGTGTATTTATAATTTACCCTTTCATTTATAACAAACTCAATCATATAAGATTCAAGTTTTGTAATGTTTTTCATATTTATAATTACCCTTCTACGAATTGACCCCCTCCCCCCTAAGTTTTTCAAACCAAAAAAAAAAAAAAAAAAATTCTTTAACTATATCAAATACAAAGGATAGAAAGCTCGACTACAACACCATCCAACAATATTGTTTCCTCTGTATTACGTTTAATTCCATAATCCAA